TGCACAAGACCTGCACAACATCAAGCTATTCAATATTCCAGCAGGAACAGAGAAGGAGCTCGTGACTCCTACCCTTAGCTGAGGAGCTAGGGGATATTTGGTGGATTTGAGTGGAAGGAGAGTCGGCTTTCTTTAGGTATGTGTGCCCTAGTAGGTTACATATGCTCCAGAGCATGCACCATCATCCAAACATACATGGCCATCATTAGTTGGACTCAGGAAGCTATTGGGGAAAAAAAGGACATGAAATTTGGAAAGGAATGTGGAGGGGTCAGAGAGGTTAATGGGGAAAGGATATGATCAAAATTTTATACATATGAAAATTCTAAAAGACAACAAGTATTTTTTGAAATATAGGTATAAGGATAATAAGGTTTTGGTAATTTTTTTGTACTCTTAGTGATAATGGAATTGGGAAATAGGTAGTGAGAAGAGCATTAGATATACTCATGGGTGAGCTAAGGTGTAGCATAAGCATCAAGTGTCACATAGAAGCGTCTAGGGATGCCAAAGGTACACCCTTAACATACATAATTAGTAGACTGATGATGGTGACATTAATTATACACATTTGAGTAAAGTCAACACAATACTAAGTTATAATGCAGAATTAGGAATAATAATTTTTGTGGTTAAACATTTAAGCAATGAATACGTAAAATCAGTCATACTATAATGTTTTTAGCTTTAATCTAAATATCTTAATAGATGATTTATATGGATGTCTATATTACATATCTATATACATGAGAGGGGCCCTACTCTGCAGGAGAGAATCAGGCCTTCTCCTCACACCCAGGGCATTTCTCTAATTCATTCCCAGGGAAGAATGACAAACAGGTAGTCACAGGGGTAAAGAGAGGCAAATGATTGACAACAAAACTTGGGATGATGACAGGACACAGTGGGTGAAGGCACTGGCTGCCGAGCCTGACAACTTGGTGCTCACATGCTTTAAGGTGGAGGATGGACTTCTGAATTGTCCTCTGATCTTGGTATGTGTACACTCCATGTGCCTGTATGAACACATACCAATTAGTCAGTACAATAAAAATGAACAGCATGCTTATTCACTCCAGACTGGACTAATCTGCCTATTCTGAGGAATCACAGGTGCTACTGACAGATGTGGAAAGACAACTAAGCTGAATATTTTGCATTATCACTGGATCAAAGAGGAAAGGAAGAAGAGGGGGTTTGTCTGGTGTGGAACCGCAAGAATTGATCTGGAAACAATGTTTTTTTCTTCATCATAATCCTCCTATCTACCTTGTCCCATGGTGCACACTTGGTACTGGTAGCTCATTTCAGGGTTGTGCACAGTGTCCTGCCCCCATCCATCTTTATCCTTCTCACAACTCTGCAATATTTGATAACACACATTTGATAATATCTAAGCATGTCTGAAAACATGAATGCTTCTTTGAAGGCCATCTTAGAGTGTTAGAGTTTAAAGCTGAACATACCCTGGTCCTCGTACAGTTCTGGTTGAGAGCAAAGTTTATGACGTGTCTATACTTGGTGTCATTCTCAGTGCAGCCGACATCCAAATGAACTGTAATTCATGCCATGATTCTAAAAGACAAATCATCGCAGTGCAGGGAGTGGGAACCAGGAAGATAATATCTAGAATCTCCAAAGTAAAAACGTGATCTAAATTTTTTCTTCTAACTTCCAGGAATAAGATCCAAACTTCCCACTTGTGTACTTCAAAGACAAGCTGGAAAGATAACTAGGTAGTTAAAAATGCTCCCCCATCTTCAGAAGGCCAGAGTTCAAACCACAGCACCTACATTTTTGTCTCAAAACTACCTGTAACTCCAGCTCTGTGGTATCTGATGTGCTCCCCAAGCTTCCACAGACACCTCCATGCAAGCACACAGAGATCCACATATACACACAGAAATAATAAACTTCTAAACCTGAAGATTTTACATATTAACTGTTGGTTACTATCCATTTGCTGTATATAACAATAAAGACGTTTGTCTGTTAACACAATATTGTAAATTTTAATAATCTAAAGAAATAGCTCTTAACTTGTGGGTAGCAACCCCAAAGTGTTTCACATATCATATATCCTACTTATCAGATATATACATTATAATTCATAACTGCAGGAAAATTAGTTGTGAAGAAGCAATGTAATTTTATTGTTTCAGGTCATCAAAACCTGAACTATTCTAAAGAGTTGTATCATTAAGGAAGTCGAGAACCACTGTATAATTAGATTGTTTTACTTTTAAAAAAATATTTACTTTACTGATATGTGTGTAACACTGTGTGCATGTGTACCATTTGTGTACAAAAGCCCTTGGACCTCAAGAGGGTATCAGATCCCAGGGAACCGTACTTGCATGTGATTAGGAGCTGCTATGAGGTTTCCTGCAAGAGCAATGAATAAATGTTGTTTATTTAAATTAGAAACAAGCTTGTTTGAATACACTTAATCTGAGCTATTTCTCCAGTCCTTTTACTTTTTTCAAGAACTAGAAATAAAATTCTTCCTAGTTCAGTTGAGCTTTCGTAATAGAAATAACTGATTTTTCCCCAACATAATAACTCATCTTCCACTTAACTGATACAATTATTGTAGTGCACATTTCTTCTTTAAACCAGCAGAATCCCTACTCTTTAATTTTCTTTCAAACTAACTGGGTGTACACATGAGTAATGTTGCCTGTAGAGGTCCCCAGAGGGCACTAGACGCCTCGGAGCTCAAGTTAAAGGTAACTGTGAGGGCCTGGTGTGGGTTCAGGCTAACTTGTATCTTTTGTAAGAGCCACAATGTTATCTACTGCTGACCTGCTGCTACAGCCTCAACCTGTTTTGTGTTCTGACTAGAAAAGTGTTGACAATTTGTTTTTCTTCAACTATAGAGTAAAAGCTCAGACAAGCATATACTTTTCTCTGCCAACTCCCTTCAACACCATTAAATTTACGATTGTAGTTGTGTAAAATGACAATAAATTGAAGTTTTATTATGAATAACTTGCTTGCAATTTAGTTTTGGAGACTAGGTATAGATACGTCTATTCCAGACACTATCAAGTTTTTTAACATTCATTTATCTCCGAGTTTTATGATGTGGGGCAACTCAAAAGGACAGTGTTCTAAAATCATTGCATTGCTGTGATAAAGCATTGATCAAAAGCAACATGTGGCCGTGCGGTGGTGGAGCACACCTTTAATCCCAGCACTCGGGAGGCAGAGGCAGGCAGATGTCTGTGAGTTCGAGGCAGGGCTGGACCTACAGCCTCCAAAACAATACAGAGAAACCCTGACTCATAAAACCAAAAAGAAAAAAAAACCAACATGGGGAGGGAGGATTTATTGGACTAGGAGGTCACTCATCATGGAATGCTGAGGCAGGAACAGAAGTAGACACCTTGGAAGAAGATGCTTACTCGATTGCTCCCTGTGGCTTTCTTCACATGGCTTGCTGAGATTCCTTTTTTATACATGCCAGAGTAGCTTCCCCAAGATGGCCACACCTAGGGTGGGGAGGGACCTCCTCGAGTCAATCATATAGGGGCATTTTCTCAATTGAGATTTCCTGGTCCCAGAAATTTGCTTCCAAATGATAAAATATAAATAAACATAAACACACACACACAAACCAAGGAGAGATTTTCGAAGTATCAGTAGCTAACACTAAGAGTTCTTAAAATGTTTACAGTTTTCCAAACTGCAGCTGGGCAGTGGTGGTGCAAGCCTTTACTCCAAGCACTGAGGAAGGTAGATATCTGAGTTCTAGGTCAGCCTGTCTACAGAGTGAGGTCCAGGACAGCCAGGGCTACACTGAGAAACCCTCTCTGGGATGGAGGGGAATCAACAGATTTCCATCCAGGGAAAAAAACAGGATACAGCCTTGACATCTTCTCCTGATAGACTTTGTCAAAGGCTTCACTGAATTCACAGTGAATTGTCTCTTTCAGTCCCCACAAATGCCTGTCACACACAGAAGAAAAGCACCAGGAAAATGAGCAAAATACACACATGAGCAGCTAAGCCTGTCACACTCTCACCACATCAATCCAATTGCTGTTTTATCAAGACAACGATGAGTCGTCCTAGAACTTTCTACTTCATACCAACTGTCAAAACTACATTATCACAAAAGGACAGGACTTGAGATGATTTCAGTGTAATGGCTGTGAGCACCAGAAATGTCCTGTGGAAAATCCTAACCTTGAAGCTTTGAATGAAAAACTGAGAAAGTTCTCATAACCTCAGTCTCATCCCCATATGCGAACCACTGCAACCACGTGCGTGAGAGAGTGACAGGTTATAGAATTGATGACAAAAGTTTTTGTCTTTAAACTATATTTTCAACATAAGTTCATTAAAGTTGAAGGAATTTTTACACAATGCTATAAACAGAAAAAAATCTCTCCCTGAGAAACATATGTATTCTAAGTGACATTTCTCCTACAGGGAATTTTTTTGTAAGCCTTTCCCACTGAAATCCATTGATATACCACCACCGCAAACACCTCCTAATATTACTGCTTTGTTAGTCAATATGAACTATGAAGTCCCGCCACTCAGAAATAAAAATCTTAACACGGCACTAGCAGATGTATTCAGACATAACAACAAAAACTTCAAAAGGTTCACACAGAACTTTGATTGATTTGAACAGCTCCTGTTTAACACATAATTGTGAGGTTTCAAGCATACACAGGTAAAATGAACTTGGTTAATTGAATTTAAAACAAATCCAGTGTAACTACAATCAGACCAAGACAGACACCGAAATCATGTTCGCTTCACTCCTCTGTTCTAAGAAAATGTCATATTTAGAAAGAAGCCAAGAGGGCAGAAGGCGCCCTCCCTGCCGCTAGGCCCGGGGACCGGGTGCCAGGCTGGGGTCCTTCCCCCTGGCCTTGAGCTCCAGCAGCTTTGTTTGCCCCTGCCTCAGCGTTGAGGGCGGCGCGCAGGGAAGGCAGCTGCAGGAAGCGCGACCGATGCACCCGGGATGTGCAGGAACTCAGGAGTCCAGCCACTGCCAGGGCCTCTTGACGAGACCACAGAGGGAGCCTGAGCACTGCCTCAGGCCCCGGGTGGCGGGCCCAGGGCACCCGTGAGCACAGAGCTCTCCGTCGACGGGGGGCGATGTTCCCCTGGCCTGCGGGCTCTTCGGGCCGCCGGGGCATCCCGCCTTTGAGACCAGGGCCCCCACAGTGGGCGATCCCCAAGGCTGCTCCATGGAGACTCTGTGTCCTCCTCCCTGCCTGGCAGTGCCCGCGTCTCCGCGAGGGTCTCCCTGCTCACCCACGCCCCGGAAACCGCGTCGGGGGACCCCGGAGTTCTCCCCACTGTGCCTTCTGCACCCTTGCCAACCCCGGCCATCCGCCCTGGGCCTGGGGCCTGGAGAGATGGCGCCGCGGACCCCGGTGGTGCTGGGGCCCCGGGACTCGCCATTCACCTGCGGTTGGTCCGCGGACAGCATGAAGCACTTTGGGGGACTGGCCGAGGAAAGCCTGAAGCACCTCGGGGGACATGCCAGGCGACCAAGTGACATGAGCTCCGCGGCCCGCGAGGATGCAGACATCGCGGTGTGCCCAGGCGGTGGAGAGGAGGAAGAGGGCGGAGGCAGCTTCCCGAACTTTGGGGCCGGTTCCTGTGCACCTCCCGGCCGCTGCCCTGCTCCCCGGCGTCCTCGGGAATCTCCGAACAGCTCCGCCTGGTCGCCGCGCAGGCCAGCCCCGGGTCTGGAGTCCCAGCCTGAGGCAGCTAGCAGTCTGCCCCATTAACCCAGCTCCTGGCCTCAGCCGCCACCTGCGGGCCTCTCCCGGGAACTTGCATCACCGAAGCAGCCTGCGCCGGGATTGGCTGCAGCGGGTGGAGACCTTGTCCTGGCCGCGCCCCAGGCACCCGCGCCCAGCCCCTCGATGGCAGAGGCAGCACCAGAGCACCCGGTGATCACCGCCAGGAACATTTCAATCGCCTGATCCGCAGCTCGTAACTTTGGTGTTACGGGAAGGGCTTCGCCCTGGACACTCCAAGTTTGCACCGAGGGCCCAAGCTGCCGGCAGCCAAAGCTCAGGGAGCAGCCAAGAAACTCTGGCGGCCAGCACCGCCCCCGCGCAGCGTGCAGCCCCCGGCCAGCCCCTATGCTCCACACCTTGAGCACCTTCAGCCTCCTGGACTGCTTTCCCTGTCCCCCAGCCCTGGTGGTGGAAGAGGACTGAGACTTAGGGCCAGCTTCCTGGCTTTGCCTCCAGGGAGATGCAAAGCCTCTGCCTGCCCACCCGCTGTGGAGGTGGCAGATGGGAGGACCCCCTGTCCCAGAGCCCCAGGGCCTCAAATCCTGGTGTGTCAACTTGGAAGAACTCTGAGCATTGGACCTCTTCTACCCGGGAGCAAATTGGGTCCCCCGGGCAGAGTGAAGACTCTAGGAGGGTGTCTTGAGTCTCAGATTTGTCTGTAATTTTTATTTATTTTTATTTTTTTTCGTTTAATGGAGTATGTCTAGGGACCTCAAATGACAGTTATCTTCAAGTACCTGAAAGGTCGGGGTGATATTCTATTCTCATCTTTGCGGAGGAATCAATGTCTGGCATCCAGAAAAGCCTTAACTGCAGAAGGTTGCATGGCCAGCTCCATCTCTGCCCTCAGCAGAGGCCAGGGCCTTCACCCCAGGGGAGCAAAGTGCTTACTGCCAAGAGACCAAAAGAAAGGGACAGAGGGACAGCCCCACTCTCCTCCTCCTCCCATAAACAGGAGAGGGCAGAGGCCCCAGTGGTGTGGCCCAAGGCTGGTTTTGCCTGGGGAAGGGGTCAAAAATTCCCTGGGAAAATAATGGAAGGTGGAAGAAATCAATAAAATCAGACCAAACAAGAAAAATAAAAAAGAAAATGACATATTTAAATGCATGCTTCCTATCATTAATATTTCTCTCTTCATAATCATTTTTAAACTTCCAAAACTGAAATTCTATCAGCTAATAAGACCCATTCCCTATTAACCATTAGTCTACATTCTATCCTAATGACTTTCCATTTCAGTGTTCGTGTTTTATTTATTGCTTTAGAGACAGGGTCTCACTATGTAGGCCTGGCTGGCCTGTAACTTGCTATGTACACCAGTTTGACTTCAAACTGAGATTTCCCTCTTGACTTGTAATCTCTGCTGGAATTAATGGTGTGTGATACCACACCCAGTCATGTCATTCTTTAAAATTGGTACATATTTTTGCATGTACTAATGAGACTCTAGGAATGTTTTCATAGTAGCATATATTGTACTTTATCCTGTTCCACACTGTACCACCCAATTTTACTCTGTTCTTTTCTCTACTCTTAGAAACTTACATTCCCCTAGGCAATTTTCTCCTTCTTTTATATCATATACACAGATACATTGTCATAAAGATATATATTTTCTATATAAATATAACATAATATATTCATTGCATATGTAGTATTTTTAAATTATTTTTATTTAAATTAAAAACAATCTTATTTTACATACCAATCCCAGTTCCCTCTATTCCCATCATGGCATTCCCCTCACCAAAACCCCATCCTCATTTCATGTAATGAGAGGCCTTCCATGGAGGATAATGATAGTCTGTCACATAATTTGGGGCAGGGCTTAGGCCTTAACCTTTGTATCTAGGCTGAGAGAGTATCTTTCCATAGGGAATGGGCTCCCAATGTCCCGTCATGCACTAGAGATAAATACTGGGTCCAATTCCAGAGATTCCATTGAAAGTCCAGGACTCCCAAATGACAGCAATGTTCAGTGGGCCTGGTTTCATCCCATGCTGGGTCCCTGCTTCAAGACTGGGGTCCCTGACCCAATTGCTCAGGTCAGCTGTTTCTTTGGGTTTTCATGGCATGGTCTTGACCCCTTTGCTCATCATGCTTCCCTCTCTGCAGCTGGATTCTAGGAGTTTGGCTCAGTGCTTAGCTGTGAATCTCTGCTTCTGCTTTCATCAGGTACTTGGTGAAGGCTCTATGAAGGCATTTGAGGTAGTCATCACTCTCATTATCGGGGAAGGACATTTAAGACAGCCTCTTCACTATTGCTTAGATTCTTAATTGGGTCATCCTTATGGATCCCTTGAGATTTCCCTAGTGTCAGATTTCTCTGTAAACCTATAATGGCTCCCTCTATTGATGTGTCTCTTTTCTTGCTCTCCTTCTCTGTTTCTCCCCCTACCTGACATTTCTGATCCCTTATGTTCTCTTCCTGCCTCCCCTTCTTCCTTCTTCTTTTTCCTCTCTCCCCCCATGCCCCATGCTCCCAATTTGCTCAGGAGATGTTGTCCCCTTTCTAGGGGTCATGTATGTGTCTCTTAGGCTCCTTCTTGTTTCTTAGCATCTGTGAGGTTGTGGATTGTAGGCTGATTATCCTTTGCTCTATGTCTAATATTCACTTATGAATGAGTACATACCATATTACAAAATGAAGTCAAACATCCGAAGAAGTCACAGGTTCTCACTAGGCAGCTCTGGCTGGTCTGGATCTCACTAGGTAGAGCTGGCTGGCCTCAAACCTACAAGAGTCCACAGCCCCTGTTTCCCAAATAGTTAAAATTTCAGCATACATTTTAATATCACTCCAAAGATAATCTGAATTTACTTAGACAGGAGTGAATACACACATGAGAGAAATTGAAAGATGTTATAAACAGCAAAATACTAAAAGCAGCTCATTTTCCATTCCTATAGAGATATTATACAGATACAGGATATAAAATATATAGAATATATTTAGTTGTATAAAGATAAATGTGCGAACTGAGTTTTGGATGGAAACATGGCAGTCCTTCCATCAAAACACAAAGGGAATCCTGCCTTTGACAATGTCATCACCTAGAATTCATTCCCAAGTAACAACTGCATGCTCAAAATTACATTTGAATAAATGAACACTTCAGAATTTTAAAAGACCCAAACTTAAGTACTCAAAAATATGAGAATAATCAAATAAAGGTTCAACGAATTCATACAATTAAATATACTGGAAATGAAAAGTTGACTGGGGCCCAAAGGGAACTCTTTCCTGCTGCACAAACGGCCTTCTGACTTCTGTCAGAGAACAAAGGGGAATCCTTAATATTCTAGATCATCACCACTGTGTATGTCTCAATCTCTGGTAGGAGAGTGAAGTCTCACAAGTTTACTTGTTGACTAAAACTTTTTATTGTATACTAACACTCACAATAGCACTGTTCACATTAAGCTAAGAGCTGGGAAGGGCTAAATACCCATCAGAGGATAAGTAAATCAGCATATTGTATTACAACACATAGGTATTATTCGTCCTCACAGGGAAGGAAATGTGGACATGTGCTAGCATGGCCAGACCTATGAAGATTATGGTAAATGAAAATCATCTATTTATAAATTATCATACTATACTCATTAGAGTTACTCAGATCCAATTCTAAGCTTGGGAAAGTAGAATATAGAGAGTGAATGAAGAGAATAGCAAGCTGGTTTCTGAAATCTTCTGGAAGGTTAAGGATCTCCCACAGATGTCTCAAATGCCTGATGCTCATACAGCTTTACCCCCACACTGCATCCTACAATCCTCATACAGGAACCCTCCCTGGACACATCACACTGACTTTAGCTTCTAGCTCATTATATTTCAAGCCATGGACCTCCGTGGTCCTGCCAACACCTGCATCACTTCTCATTGAGGACAACCCCTGGCTCAGTACACCTATTATCAATGCCTTGTGGTAAACAGAGAGAAAGGTTGAAGGCAAAATGAAATGGCTAGGATTTCCAAGAACTTCTAGGCACCAAAAATCTAACTTCAAAGCCAAGCAGCCAAATTACCATAGACCAGGTTTTATACTTCATTCACTTTCTCCCAAATAACTGCATTGCTTTCATTCCTCTGCCAGGTTCCCTTCATCTTACATTCAGAACCAGCACACACACCAAGTCTCAGGAACAGACCTGTGAGTTTCCATGGTCCCTCTTTCCATCCTTAATACTCCAATATCCACAGCTTCCAAATCTCTAAGCCTTCAATTAACATATTCAAGGTGTGGTTTCATGGAACCCAGATAGGCCTTACACTCACCATGGATCTGAGGATAGCCCTTCTGGACCTGCAGAGTCTGTCTCCCAAGTGCTAGGATCAGAATATTGCCAGTTTGATAAGACTCTGAGGAAGGAATCCCAGACTTGATACATGCCAGGCAAGCACCAACTAAGGTACCCATGACACAGGTAGTGGCTATACTACCTCCAGAGGAAGGAAGAGACTGTATCTGTCATGAAGTCAGAAACAGGTAGAATGTCAGAACCATGAACTTGGGATTCCTAGGGAAGACTAAGTGAAAATACTTCACAGTTGCATCCAGACCTGAAACAGTCTAACATCACCACCTCTAAAGGTGGGATGCAACAGTCTCCAATTTACTGCGCAGCAGGTACCTCATCTCCTGCAAGGCTTGGTAGTGCTCTTTCCTGAGGACCTACCTGTCTGGGAATATTATTTTAAGGTGTGTCTTTTGTTTATGCTGCATTTGCTTAACTCTGTGAAGCTGTGTTACTGAGCCTGGCTAAAACACCAGGTGGTCTAATAAAGAGCAGAAAGGCCAATAGCAAGACAAGAGCAAGAACAGGCAGGGCTGGCAGGCAGTCAGTATAAATAGACCAGAAAGGAGGAAGAGAGGAAACAAGAAGAGATCAAGGGGAGGAGGATGTCAGGGGACACCACCCAGACAGTAAAGGAGTAAGAGAGAAATAAGATATGCCAAAGAAAAAGAAAAGGCCCAGAGGCAAAAGGTAGTTGGGATAATTTATACTTAAGAAAACCTGAATAGCAGCAAGTCGAGCTCAAGCCAGGCATTCATAATTCACAATAAGCCTGTGTTTGTGGTCTGTTTGGGAGCTGGGTGGTGTGTCCCCAGAAAAGTGAAAGAGTAAAACATCGTACTACACCTACCTCTTGGCTAGGCCCTTGGCAGGGCGCTTTTTGCACGAACCAGACAGGAAAAGCACGTCTGAGGATAACTGCCAGCTTTAGGTCAACGTATCAACAGTGACTGATACCCTCTCTGTGCTAATGGAGGGGGTAAAAAGACAGAATACACAATCTTTTAGGTACTTCAAGGCAGGGATGGCTAAACAGTCCATCATTAATATCTGGACATTTGGTTCTTTTAAGTACATATGTGGTCTCTCTTATAGGGAAATGAAATTCAAGGTTTAGTGGCCTTTTAAAAGCTTGATTTCAAAGATAGTCTAACTCCCTTCTCTCTCTCTCTCTCTCTCTCTCTCTCTCTCTCTCTCTCTCTCTCTCTCTCTCTCTCTCTCTCTGTTTTTTTCAAGACAGAGAGTCTCAGTGTAGTCCTGGCTGTTCTTGAACTGAGACAGCCACCTGTCTCTGCCTCCCAGTCACAGGGATTAAATGCATGCTCCACACAGCCTGGCAGGACTTGTGAAGCTTCTGCCCAACTGACAAAGCATGGTGACACACCCAGACAGAATCTGTAACATTCACTTACTACATGGAATGAACATTGAACGGGACATCGAAGCAAGAGCAAGAGAGGATTCAGGTAGGCAGAGTCTGTCACTATCATTCCCTACAGAATGGAAGATGACATGAAATCAAGGAGTCCAAGTCCCTCAAAGCTGACACTGGTACCCTAGGAAAGGAGTCTGGCACATGAAGACATCAGTTCAACGACCTTGATGGAGCCTAACATACTTACTGTAAAGATGAGGAGTAACCCATAGGAAAGGACAGCCAGACCAGTCTTAGAAGACTCTGAGCCATCTTTGCTGTCAAGTCTCCTGCCCCCAGCCCACCTTTGAAAGACTGTATCTGTCCATCGTGCACTTGGCTTTTTTATGAGAAAAGGCATGGATAATCACAGCTGGGGGATGAAAGACAAAAATAGATGATTACTTTCTGAGAGGAGTGAGTAAAATACACAAGGCTTTTCTAACTATGACAATAACTACACTTAAGCAGAGGAGGAATACTGGGTTAGTATGAAACGGCAAAGGTTTCTTGGATGAGCCTTCTATTTTCCTCTGCAGTGCCAGGAGATTAAACTCAGTGGGATTTAATGCAGGCCTGCCAAGATCTTCACCATGGGTCCATGCCCCTGACCCTGCTGAATTCTGCTTATTTACATATTTATTCACAGACAGGCTTTCACTTTGTATCCTAGGTTGGCTTACAGTTTGCTGTATAGTCCATAGTGGTCTTAAACCCCAGTACTACTGTCTTAGCCTCCCAAGTGCTAGTTGCTGGGGTTATAGATGTATACCATCATAAGTATCTTAGATATATCTTACTCTTCTCTGTGGCCAGATTTGTCCTGGAAATTCCAAGGATGAGGTATAGAGAGAGTACCTCTCAAAGTTTAACATGTTTAAGAAACATCGGGATCTTATTAAGACATGAATTTTTAGATCCTACACTAGACTACAAGTCCAAAAAAATTCCTCACTGGAGCACATATAGACTTGTTCTGATTGGAAATACAAGTTATATCTATGCTTGGGCAGTTGCTCACTACGTAGTTAAGATACTAAAAGTGAGGTCATGTTAATGACTAGGATGTGGTTGGATAAAATTTGACATTTTACTGACTACAAGAAGTTTAAAACAGACTTTTCAGTTTAGAATCCATAACATTAGAATGTATGTTGAGTCTGGGAAACGGGGGAAAAACCTAAGAGAGATATGCATGGTACGCCAGAGAAGTGGACTGAGTCAAGATCTTCTGAACAGATTGAGAACACAGCGAGGGGTGCGGGGGAGTGGGAGCTGGGAAGAAGAGAGGAGGAGAATTGGAAGAGAGAGTAGGTCAGGAGGAACAGGAAGGTTGAGTGGGGGGTTAGAATAGGGGGAAGAGGGAATCACAAGTTAGAAGACACATCTGGCACCAGTGAGACCTCTAGTGATTTAAAAGGGATGACACAAACTGGCAAGCTAAGCAATATTGAAGAGACCTCCTTGAATGCCCATTCTTGATAATAAACTTGATGTCCATAACCATCCTGGAGCCTTCATCCAATGACTGGTGGAAGCAGAGGCAAACACCCACAGTTAAACACCGAACTGAACCCATGGAACCCAGTGACACAAAGAGAGGAGTAGTAAGCAAATTGGCAAAGAATGGGATGGCAAAACCAGCAGAGACAGCTGATTTTAAGAAGGGAGAGATCTTGGACCCCAGATCAACAGCTGGGAGGCCAGCATGGGCCTGATCCACACTCCCCTGTGTGTGAGAGTCAGTGAGAAGGCCTGGACAACCTATGGGGCCCTGGGCAGTGGATCAGTGTTTATCCTTGGCATACAAATGGAGTTTGTGTGTGCATAGCTCAAAGAGGCTCTCTCGGCCTGGAGTCTTTGGGGAGTGCCTGCACCCTGCCCTGAGTGAAATGACAGACTCTAGATATTTCCTATGTGGAAGAAAATAGTGATAGGGTGGGAGGTTAGGAGGGATGATGGGGGGTGGGGGAGGACAGGAGAGAGCAGGAACTCTGATTGACATGTAAAGCAAGGTATTTAAAATAATAAATAAAAAATCAAAATAAAATAAAATAAGGAAAAAAGAATGTATCCTGATCACATAAATTCAGAATTAATTAATTAATTATTCAATTCCAAATATATCCAACATGATGTCAAACTCTCTCTAAACCTTATGCTCCTGTTTCAGAATTTGTTTGGAGGAAACCATCATGGTGGCACTAGGGGAAAGAGTACAGGAGTAAATGGGATAAGAAAGGGCAAATGACCATAACATGTAGCTCAGGTTGATCCCTTCACTTCAGAGTGCGAGGCAGCCTAGTTTACACAGAAAGTTCTAGCTCAGTCAGGACTACATAGCTGACTTCATCCCAACAGCTACAATAAGAAACCAACAAAAAAAACCAATGTCTGTTCTCTTGTGCTTCCCTGAGTACATGCCTGACCATGGAATTACCAGTTTTACATACATAATCTAGTTCTGCCTTGAAATGCAGAATGAGCAGATTGAGACTCTAGTTAGTTTCTTGAGAAAAATATGCTGGGCCTGGCACCCTGGAATAACATTGTTTTACCTACTCCAGAAGCCTAGTGTCAAGAGTTGGAAGTTTTCCTGGAGTAGTACACATGTGACAGCTCTGGTACACTAAGTGTTTGTCAAATAGTTGCTTAACAGAGATACATACATACCCTCATACTCTCATAGGTGTGTGTATAATCAATTTCAATTTCATTAACCTTTCTAAGACATTGGGAATAATTTATTTCCTTTTGTGCTCATAATAATATTGATGCTGAGTCATGATGCTTTGATCTGTGATATAAGGACACAGCAGGGGTGTAAATCATCAGATCAGAGGCCTAATCTTTACAGTGGTCTCTTTCCCCTGTAATATCTCTCCAGTGCATGCTTCCCTTCCTGGCTCATCTCTTTGCTCAAATACCAATGGCTTAGCATTGTGATAATGTGTCTAGGAAGCTTTTTATAAAGGAAGCGTGAAAAGCCAGGAATATGGAGGGGAGCAATAGATATCCAGGCAGGCAGTGGCCAGGACATGCTAATGGCCTTGGATGCACCTCTTCTCGTTCTCCTGAGCGGCACTAGCTCTCCTGGGCTAACACACACTCATCCTGACATCTATTCCAGCTTAGAGACTGAGTTGGCTGATTCATACTCGGGGCCTCGATTGCTGTTGTGTACTCTGAGTCAACTCCCTGGAAGTTGTCTTGGGACTCTGCTGTGACAGCTATCCCTGATTCAGCTTCCAGTTCCTGACCCTCTACACTGTCATCCATCCCAATTTCTTGTCTCCCATCCCACTTACCCTTCATTGTCGGCCTCTTCCCGAGCGCTCCCATGAAGTCTACTTCAGGCCTCACTCACTCCTTCCCTTTCTTTGTTCTATTCAGCAGCTTTCAGCCCCCAGGACACTTTCTTGTTGAAATTCCCATGGAAAATGTGCACAAGAAACGACGAAGACACAGTGAAATTCACAGACCTTCTGCTGAAATGTCACTGGACTGCTACCTGACATCAACTTTGGCGCCTTGCGTGACATCATCGATCTGCCTCTGACCCTGGTGGGATAAGCGCCTTGTGTTTAGCTCTGCGGCCCAAGGAAGGGCGAACAAAGTGGCCTCTTCTATGTGGGGTGGAGTCTCTTTATCGTGATCTCCTCTGTTGGTGTCTCCTCCTGGCTGCTACAGTCTGGTTACCAGTCAGGATCCATGAGTATAGGAGGGAGGCTGTCATGGAGAGGACGCCGGGGAGACTGGGGACTAGGGAGGCCGAAATGGGCCTTAAATAGCGGAGGTAATGGCTGCAGCGAGGGTTTAGGAGGCCTTTGGAGGTTTTCTTTTTCTTAAATTTTTTGTGACAGGGTTTCCACTGCTTAACAGCCCTGCCCGACCTGGAACTCTCTCTGTAGACCCAGTGGCCTCAAACTCAGAGATCCTCCTGCCTGTGCCTCATGCTGGGATTGAAGGCTTCTGCCACAACCCAGTCGTTTATTTGTAATTTTTTAAGCAAGGGCTTTACATGGCACCAGCTATCTTAGAATTCATTCACAGTATTACTAGTCATGTTGTGTAACGATGACAGGGATTTACTTCTGTTTCAGCTACTGAGTACTTTTATGACCTTGTTTAAGGCTCTCTCTCCTATGAGTAAAAAGGAAGTGTAGCTTTTGCTGACTTTGGCCTCAGAACACTTGCTTTTTAATTTTATTTTTCCCCTCTGAAGAAAAAGTCAACCTGAGTAGCCCAGACACTTACTGTGTAGCCTAAGCTGAGCTTGAAAAATGTAAACATTTGATTTTCTTTAAAAAGTTAATTAATATTGGGTGTTTAGAATCAACCAAGGACCTAACACATGCTCTGTACCAATAACCTATTTATCCCTCACAGTTATGTACTTAGATAAGCGTAAGATAATAGTGGAGTAGGGGTGCATCTCAGTGAATAAACACTTGTACATCCAGGTCCTAAGTTTTGTTCACAGAGCTGTTGGGAGCAGGGCTTGGGGGTAGACAATAGAAAATATGGGAGTCATTTTAAGGGTTGTAGATTCAAAAGCAGCTTTGCTTGTGTGGTTAGAGTGACATAGGCAAAAGCAAGCCTCTTTCAGGTTATTAACATTCTTTCTTTTTAAAAGAATTGTTTTTTATTGTATAAATGGTTTTTCTTTCTGGTTTTCTGAGACAGGGTTTCTCTAACTGTACTAGCTGTCCTGGAATTTACTTTGTAGACAAGGCAGCACTCAATCGCGCAGAGATCATCCTGCCAGTGTCCCCAGTCCTGGGATTACATGTGTGTGCTACCATGCCTGGCTCTATTTTATACTGTTTTTAGTGCTTGTAAGAATGTGTGTGTGGCTGGTTCCTGAAGAGTCCAGAAGAGTGTGCCATAATCTTTGGAACTGGACTTACACAGATGGTTGTAAGCCTTTATGTGTTCAATGTGTTTTGAGCCGTGATCATCAATAAGTATAGGAGGTGCTCTTAGCTGCTGAGCCATCTCTCTAGCCCAGTTATAGGGAATCTCTTAATGAACACTTTTTCAAATAACTAGCATAGCTCTGGGTATCTGTCAGTATATCATATGATTCTCAGAATGCAGAAGTGTGGCAGGTTCCCCAGAGAGACAATGCTTATTAAAACATTTGCTTATAGGAAGGAGGGACCCGACCTTATCATCTTCAGAAAGCAGTACATGAAAAGAGACACCTATTAAAAATTTTTGTTGTTATAATTTATGATAGCAAAGTTCTCAGAACAGTATTTGATATGAATGGACTGAAGAAATGAAGTATGTGCTGATTTATTTGGTAAATATTTTACACATGGATGATAAAGTGCATAACTATAATCCCAGCACTCAGATAGCTAGGCCAGGAGGATAAGAGTTTGAGGCTCTCATAGCATACACAGTGAGTCCCTGTCGGGAAAAAGAAATTAAAGGGTTCTGAATTTCTGACTCCTAGGCATCTCTTAGGAGAATTGCCTCACAGATGAGTACCCAGAATCTAGGTTTTTAGAAAATGATTTCTAAAATTGTGTGTGTGTGTGTGTGTGAGTGTGATTTTTTTCTTCTTCATAAGAATGAGCAGTGAACTTTGCATCATGAATCTGCATGCATTTTTTCATGCATGAATCTGTGAAATTTGAGGTTCAGTGGCATGGTAGTGACTCCTTCTACATCCAACAGCTTACTATAGATAACTGGAATTATAAACATCTTGAGAGGCTGCTTCTTCTCAAGGTGGTACTGTGACAAATAGGTTCTGTGTTATGTTACTAGCTTCAGTGTAGATCAGGCCCTGCTACATGTTTGGATGTGATAAAGAGAGGACTTATTGCTCTTGGGTTTTTCTGTGTGTGTGTGCCCTCATAGTCATCCAGAGGCTTTCATCTTAACCAAGTTATTATTCTCTGTTTGTTCCAGGGTTGCAGCTGGAATCAAGGCCAGGAATTCGGAAGAATCTGTCCCCTTATACATGTGTCATTCTTATCTGGGCATCCTGGGTGCAGGATTTGTGGAGTTCTCCCCTGAAGCAGAAGTAGCATCTGGCCAGAAGTATCAATCCTTTTCCAGCACTGAAAAACATTCAAGGAAGAAGGCAAAGACTGGTAAGTGAGATGCTCCCCTCCTGTTTGTGCACCCATGTACTTAGGTCCCTACAGCAGTGGGGAAAGCATTCCTATGATCTCTCCGCTTGAGTCCCAGATTTTCACAACAAAAAATATGTATCTGAGTTGAGCTCCAGTTCTATACACATGAACTTAAGTCTCCTTGAATAATAGGTGTGTACCAAACCACACCTTGACTCTCACATGTCCTCTTAATCAAAGTATACTTCGAAGCTGTGATGTCCATGTGCTCAGGAAGAAACTGATTCCATGCAGGTTAACATGCACCATGTGCTGAAGATGATGCACTTTTGACCATTTTGTGTATTTCTGACCTCTTTATAAGAAATCAAGTGTCGGCTTGCGTGTAATCTTCTTATTTATTTATTATTTTAATATTAAATAGCTTGTTTTACATGTCAATCCCAGTTCCCTCTCCCTCCCCTCCTCCTGAAGCCTCCCAACATCCCCCTCATCCTCCCACCCTATTGCCAATTCCTTCTGCACAGGGGATATCTAGAGTCTATCATTTCATTCAGGGTAGGGTCCAGGCACTTCCCTAAGAGTCCAGGCAGAGACAGCAACCCTCTTTGTGTTATGGACACACGATGTCTGTTACAGTGTTTAACTGTGGGTGTTTGCCTTTGCTTCCATCAGTCACTGGATGAAGGCTCCATCCATTGTGACCTCTAGGGATATAAACGGATGACACCAATTGGCAAGCTAAACAATAGTGTAGAGACAACCTCGAATGCCTATTACTGATAGTGAACTTGATGTCTATAACCATCCTGGAGCGTGTAATATTTATCTAGGTCTTCTGTTTGATCCCATTGATGAATTTGTCTCTGTGTATGACATTGCCGTGTATTTTTGCACCTTGGTTGTACCACTTGAAATCTGCTAACATCAGACATCTAGTAGAGGTTTTAATGTTATCACAATTAATATATCCTGTTTCTTTCTGTGGCTCTATATGCAATTGAGAATTTTGCTTTCAAATCCTCCTAACAAATGGCTACTGCAATATAATGGGGAGTGTCTTGAATGTGTTAGTTTTTGTAACTATACTTTTTTATTAATTAGGTTATTCTTACAGAACCTTGATTATGTGAGCTCTTTCCTTCTTTTGATATTCTACTCAGAGTCCTGAAGTTTTTTCATGCATGTCTCTCACACCACACAATAGTTGATAACATTTGTATCTATTGTGAGTGTTGTATCTCAAATTTATACCTCAGCTTATTTATTTCTATGTTTTTGGGATATGCATATTTTTAATTAATCTTTGACCAAGTTATTTGCTGAAATTACTTATCAGGTGTATGTGTACTTAGTTGTATTTTTAGGGTCACTTATACATACTACATTATCATTTGCGAAACAGTGACACATTGACTTCCTCCTTTTCATTTTGTATCCCTGTATTCTACTTCAGTAGTATTATTGCTGTTGCTAACCTTTAATAATTACATGGGTGTGATATGGAGACAGTAGACAACCTTGTGTTCTTCCCAATTTGGTTACAATCGCCTAAAAGGTCTTCCTATTTTTTAAACAGTGGTTTTAGATTTGTTGTAAAGTACTTTTGTTTCGGTGATGCATGCCCTCCTATTCTAAATCTCTCCTGGACTTTTATCATGTAGGGTTTTTGAGTTTTGAATGAGGCATTTCTGCGTAAGAAGCTTAACCAGTATTTATTTTTTATTTCATTTGTATGATGGATTCAATTACTGAATAACATGTATTGGTGCATCACTGAATCATGACGCCAGGGAAATTATTTTGGATGATCTGTTGCATGTGTCCTTGGATTTGGTTTGCAAACATTGTACTTAGTAGTTTAAAATGTTGGCATGGAAAGGAAACATATATGTGATTATGTGTTTTTGTTGAGTGTTTTGGTTGTTGGGGTTTATGACAAATATGGCCTGATGTAATGAATTAGTCAATGCCATTTGTTTCCATTTTGTGAGAGATTTTGAGCATCATAGCTGTAGCTCTTTCTTGCAAATCTAGCAGCTATATGTGGCAAAATATCTTTAACTAATATTTTGTTTGTTTGTGGGCATTTTAATGACACTAGGGCATCTAGGTTTACTTAATTCTTTTTCTGATTTAATTCCACTTTGGGAAATGGTGGAATCATTGAGAAAATGATCTTTTTCTTTCATGTTTTCATTTTTTTGGAGGACAGCTTTTAACAAATGTCCTAATGATTTCCCGGGTACCAGTTGTCATGGGCCACTGTTCATTGCATATATTTCCTATTGTTTATTCTCTTGTTGTCATTCATTTTCTGTTGTAGCTTTTATGTTTCCCATTAGGGTGCTAGAATGGGATGTCTCCATATTCCTTATGTAGAGACAGACTACTCTGCATGTTCCCCTTAAATGTCTTTCATTGGGTGCCAGATGTTTTGGTATTTTTTGTTGGAATTTTCATCAATTCCAGGAAGCCTGAAAATTCTATCTCCCTCGCTTTTTCTCTTTATTGCACTATTTCTTTGTCTTCATGCCTTGTTCCAGTTTTCATACAGTTGATAACTGTTCATTGACCATGTGTATATAAGCAGTGTGTTGTTTTTTTATCTCCAGGTTTGATCCACACTTACGGTACCATGCAGGGTTTCATTTAATTTTTTTGTAAATGTGAGTACTTGTTAGTGTATGAATATGTGGTCTGTTTTGGATAACATTCCATGAGGTTTGTGTGATATTTTGTGAAAATATGATAAGTTCTTTTGGTTTATAGAAGCTGTTAGGACAATGTATTTCTTTGTTTAGGTTGGGTCTGTATGTCATGTATATTGGTGGTATTTGGGGTATTGAAATTGCCCATGGTCACTGTTTCTATTGAGCCTTGGAGAGCAGATCAGTACCCATCCTGAGTATACACACTGACTTTGGAATCCCATCCAACAATGTGAGGTGCACTCTCACCCTGAACCCTTGGGGAAGGGTCTAGGCCCTACCCTATTTGAAATGACAGACTATAGACACCCCTATGGAGGGCCTCACCTCCCTGGGGAAATGAGGGGATAATGGGGAAGTTGAGGGGAGGGCACAGGAGGAAGGGAGGGAAAGGGAGACCCCCTCGCCGGCGCTGCGGGAGACCCCTCGGAAGACGGGGCGGATTCAGAACTGCAGGGATGTATGTTCAGAGAGGTATGCTTTATCCTGAACACACCTTTTCTCGACTTTGGCCTTAGTTTGTCATCACCGTGGGACGGGTCAGTGGAGGCTTTGGTGCTAGTCCTGTTTGTCCTTCTTCTTCATCGTGGCTGGTGCTGACAGAACGGTGCTGTCAGTCTGGTAAAGGAGTTGAGCTCCGTTTTTTTAGATAAGCCGCCAGCGCGATGGGATTGTCACAGTCAGTGGTTACTGCCCTACAGACTGTGCTAAAACAAAGAGATCTCAAAATTGCACCACGAACACTTCAAAATTTTGTGAAGGAGGTAGATAGAGTGGCACCATGGTATGCTTGTTCCGGGTCCCTCACTGTGGCCTCATGGAACAAGCTAGGTAAAGAACTAGACAGGAAGCATGCAGAAGGAGATCTTCGCTTAGGTACCAAAGCCATTTGGAAGCTAGTTAAAAACTGCTTGGAGGATGAGCCCTGTCACCCTGCTATAGTAGAAAGTCAGGGAACCTTAGAGGAAGTTCAGGATAGCATGTCAGAAACTGAACGGAGTGAGAGAATGGGAGCTCGCAAAAGGAAAGACATGTCTAAGAAAAAAGGCCCTCCCCAAGAAGTTAAGAAAGGGGGAGAAAAAGAAGGTAGTGATCATTCACCCCCTAACAAATCTAAGAAAAAGAAAAAGCCAGAATCTAGCCTATACCCTACGGTAGAGCTAGAAGCCTTGGAGCTAGATAATTCTGATTCTGACACTCTGTATTCTAGCGAAGAAGGTGGTCTAGAGGAGGAGGTGGCACGGTATGAGGAGGAAAGATATCACCCTGATAGACACCAGCCGCTGAAAACAAAAATGAATGTGAGGCCACCGCCTATAAATCCGGCGGGCTCACGCCCCTCAGCGCCCCCTATGTGTTGCCACTCCCTGTAAATTTATGGGGACGAGATGTGTTACAAGCCATGGGCATGACCCTAACTAATGAATACTCCCCCCAGGCATCAGCCATTATGGCAAAGATGGGGTATACAAACGGTAGAGGCTTGGGTAGGCAAGAACAAGGCAGAATAAAACCCATTACGCAACATGGAAATCAGGGTAGAAAAGGACTGGGTTTTATTTAGGGGCCGTTGAGGCTTCACGACCCATACCGTGGAAAACAGAGGAGCCGTTATGGGTCTCTCAATGGCCTCTATCCTCTGAAAAATTAGAGGCTGTCACAAGATTAGTGCAAGAACAGGAACGGCTGGGGCATCTAGAGCCTTCTACCTCCCCATGGAATACACCAATTTTTGTTATTAAGAAGAAATCTGGGAAGTGGAGATTACTCCACGACCTGCGGGCCATTAACAATCAGATGCATCTTTTTGGCCCAGTTCAAAGAGGACTTCCTTTGCTTTCTGCACTTCCTCAAGATTGGAAGCTTATTATTATAGATATTAAGGATTGTTTCTTCTCTATTCCACTTTACCCACGGGATAGACCAAGGTTTGCCTTCACTATCCCTTCTTTTAATCAAATGGAACCAGACAAGAGATTTCAGTGGAAGGTACTGCCGCAAGGCATGGCCAATAGCCCAACAATATGTCAGCTGTATGTGCAGGAGGCTTTGGAGCCAATTAGGAAGCAATTTACATCTTTAATCATGATCCATTATATGGACGATATTCCTATTTGTCACAAAGAGTTAGATGTTTTACAAAAGGCTTTTCCCATGCTGGTGGCTGAATTAAAACAGTGGGGATTAGAGATTGCCTCAGAAAAGGTTCAAATTGCAGATACAGGCCTCTTTTTGGGCTCAATGATTACTCCCAAAAATATAGTTCCTCAGAAA